CAAAAAATGTTATCTATGGAGGCAAAGGGAATGTATGAAAGTATAGTGGTACCAACACTTATATGGGTGTGAGGCTTGGGTTGTAAATGCTGCAGCGAGGAGGCAGTTGGAGGCAGTGGAGATGTCCTGTCTAAGGGCAATGTGTGGTGTAAATATTATGCAGAAAATTCGAAGTGTGGAAATTAGGAGAAGGTGTGGAGTTAATAAAAGTATTAGTCAGAGGGCTGAAGAGAGTTTGTTGACGTGGTTTGGTCATTTAGAAAGAATGGATCAAAGTAGAATGACATGGAGAGCGTATAAATCTGTAGGGGAAGGAAGGCGGGGTAGGGGTCGTCCTCGTAAAGGTTGGAGGGAGGGGGTAAAGGAGGTGCTGTGGGCAAGGGGTTTGGACTTCCAGCAAGCGTGCATGAGCATGTTAGATAAGAGTGAATGGAGACAAATGGTATTTGGGATCTGACGAGCTGTTGGAGGGTGAGCAGGGTAATATTTAGTGAAGGGATTCAGGGAAACCGGCTATTTTATATAACCGGAATTGAGTTCTGGAAATGGGAAGTACAATGCCTGCACTTTAACCCTTTGAGGGTTTCGGCCGTACTATTACGGCTTACAACCCAGGGTTTTTGACGTACTAGTACGCCTAAATTCTAGCTCCCTCAAATCTAGTGGGAGAAAGCTTGTAGGCATACATATGAACGAATGGGTCTATGTGGTCAGTGTGCGCAGTAGTATTAAAAAAATCCTGCAGCACACAGTGCATAATGAGAGAAAAAACTTTGATCGTGTTTTTGGAATAAAGCAGCGACTTAGCACTGTATTTTCGTATGGTATTTATTGTTGTATTCTAGTTTTCTTGGTCTCATTTTATAGAATGGAAGACATATTACAGAAATTGAGATGATTTTGACTGGTTTTACAAAAAAAGTGTACCTTGAAATTGAGCTCAAAGTAGCAGAAATGTTTGATTTTTACCAAAGTTCAAAAGTAAACAAATCATGCCAAGCGTCCAATACACGTCAACTGGTGAGTCTAATATTTTTTCACAAGTGCGCTGATATTATTTATACCATTTCTACACTAATGCAGCAGTCTGCATAACAGTAAATCTTCTATTTTTTGTAAGAATAAAAATTGAAAGTGGAAAGCCAAAGAAATATAAGAGGGGCCTGGGGATGTGACTAATGAACAGAGGAAATGCTATTTTAGTGCCAGGAATGTCTTTCTTGTTTATTCTGGACCCTATTTGGAAATTGGCATCTTTTGAAACTTGTGTGAAATTGGCAAAATTGCTAAATTCTGACCACTGTATTGGATAGTTGAAATCAGTAAATGAGTGGTTTCTTGTACTCCTTCAATAGAAAAGTGGAGTTCTAGAGAAATAGTTATGATTTTTGTCGACTAGTACACTGGAATTGGCCGAAAATAGGGCTCAAAGTGGACAAAATCGCCGATGCATAATCATCGTACCGCTAACTTCGCGAGAGCATAATTCCGTAAGTTTCTCATCAAATTTCATACTTTTGGTGTCATTATGATCGGGAAAAGATTCTCTATCTTATCATGAGAAAAAATAATTTTTTTTTTAAATTTGTCCGACCCTGAGAACAAGTCTCGGAGAGGGCCTGTCGACCCTCAAAGGGTTGAAGGAGGGGTTTGGGATATTGGCAGTTTGGAGGGATATATTGTGTATTTTTTATACGTATATACTTCTAAGCTGTTGTATTCTGGGCACCTCTGCAAAAACAGTGATTATGTGTGAGTGAGGTGAAAGTGTTGAATGATGTTGAAAGTACATGTATTTTCTTTTTGGGGATTTTCTTTCTTTTTGGGTCACCCTGCCTCGGTGGGAGACGGCTGACTTGTTGAAAAAAAAAAAATCACTATTGCTGTTTTAACCCTTTGACTGTTTTGGTCGTATATATACGTCTTACACGCCACTGTTTCGGACGTATTTAAACGCATAAATTCTAGCAGCTTCAAATCAAGCAGGAGAAAGCTGGTAGGCTCACATGTGAGAGAATGGGTCTGTGTGGTCAGTGTGCATCATATAAAAAAAGTCCTGCAGCACACAGTGCATAATGAGAAAAAAAAAAACTGACCGTTTTTTTTGGATTAAAACGCCGACTTTGAGGTGTATTTTCATATAGTATTTATCGTTCTATTCTCGTTTTCATGGTCTCGTGTGATAAAATGGAAAACATATTACAGAAATAGAGATGATTTTGATTACTTTCTCGATGAAAACGACCTTGAAATTGAACTCAAAGTAGCGGAAATGTTCGATTTTTACCAATGTTCAGGAGTAAGCAAATCACACCACACGTCCAATACACGTCAACTGGGGAGTCTAATATTCTTTCACTAGTGCACTGATATTATTTATACCATTTTTACAATAATGCAGTAGTCTGCATAACAGTAAATTTTGTATTTATTGTATGAATAAAAAATCTAAATAGAAAGCAATAGTAATATAAGAGGGGCCTAGAGATGTGACTAATGAACAGAGGATATGTTATTTTAGTGCCAAGAATGTCTACATCGTTTATTCAGGACCCTATTTTGAAATTGCTCTTTTTTAATTTGCTTGAAATTGGCCAAATTGCCAATTTCTGACCACTTTATTGGGTAGTTCAAATCGGTAAATGGGCAGTTTCTTGTTCTCAACTGATAGAAAAAATGGAGTTCTAAAGAAATAGCTGAGTTTGGTCAACTGGAACAACGGAACTGGTCAAAAACAGGGCTCAAAGTTGGCGAAATCGCCAATGCGTATATGTCACCGAGACCGCTAACTTTGCGGGAGCGTAATTCCATGAGTTTTCGACTAAATTTCGTACTTTTGGTGTCATTACCATCGGAAAAGATTCTCTATCATATCATAAGAAAAAAATAATTTTTTTTTTCCAAGGGTTAATATACAGTATGAGTAATAATAATATTAAAATTATCATTACATTTAATGAACCTCTCTTCACATATGAATTATATTCAAGTTAGCATTCAAATAATTTCACTTCAAATTTACAACTATGTTGCATATAATGTCAAATAGTTTTAAGTTCTAATTTTCGTCTCCTCAAATGACCAGCGGCTTTTCAAAATATATCAAATAAATGTTGCTTAATTTTGTAACAATTAACTACATTTTAAAAATAGCCTTGTGTTTGTGTATCTTTTTTTTTTTTTCAACACATTGGCTGCTTCCCACTAAGGCAGGGTGACAAAAAAAGAAAGAAAAAACTTTTATCATCATTCAACACTTTCACCATCACTAATTCATAATCACTGTCTTTGCAGAGGTGCCCAGATATAACAGTTTAGATAGTCACTTCAAACTGCCAATATCCCAAACCCCTCCTTTAAAGTGTAAGCATTGTACTTCCCATTTCCAGGACTCAAGTCTGGCTAACCAGTTTCCCTGAATCCCTTCACAAAATATTACCCTGCTCACACTCCAACAGCTCATCAAGTCCCAAAAACCATTTGTCTCCATTCACTCCTATCTAACACATTCATGCATGCTTGCTGGAAGTGCAAGCTCCTCACTCACAAAACCTCCTATAACCCCTCCCTCCATCCTTCCTTTCCAAATAGATTTATATGCTCTCCAAGTCATTCTGCTTTGTTCCATTCTCTCTAAATGACCAAACCACCTCAACAACCCCTCTTCAGCCCTCTGACTAATACTTTTAGTAACTCCACACCTCCTCCTAATTTCCACACTCTGAATTCTTTGCATAATGTTTACACCACACATTGCCCTTAGACAGGACATCTCCATTGCCTCCAGCTACCTCCTCACTGCAGCATTTACAACCCATGCTTCACACCCATATAACAGTGTTGGTACCACTATACTCTCATTCACTCTCTTCTTTGCCTCCACTGATAACGTTCTTTGTCTCCACATATACCTCAACGCATCACCCACTTTTTTTCCTTCATCATTTCTGTGGTTTACCTCATCCTTCATAAACCCATCTGGTGACAAGTCAACTCTCAAGTATCTGAAAACATTCACTTCTTCCATACTCCCTCCCTCCAGTGTGATATCCAATTTTTCTTTATCTAAATCATTTGATACCCTTATCACCATTCTCTTATCTAAATTCTCTTTCAACTTTCTACCTTTACACACCCATCCAAACTCGTCTGGTAACCTTTGCAACATTTCTTTAGAATCTCCCAAAAGCACAGTATCATCTGTAAAAAGTAGCTGTGTCAACTCCCATTTTGTATTTGATTCCCCATAATTTAATCCCACCCTTCTCCCCATCTCCCTAGCATTTACTTCTTTTACAACCCCATCTATAAATATGTTAAACAACCATGGCAACATTACATCCCTGTCTAAGACCTACTTTTACTGGGAAGTAATCTCCCTCTCTCCTACTCACCCTAACCTGAGCCTCACTATCCTCAGAAAAACTCTTTACAGCATTTAGTAACTTACTACCTGTTCCATACACTTGCAACATCTGCCACATTGCTCCCCTATCCACTGTATCATATGCCTTTTCTAAATCCATAAATGCAGTGAAAACTTCCCTACCTTTATCTAAATACTGTTCACATATATGCTTCAATGTAAACACCTGATCTACACATCCCCTACCCATTCTAAACCCTCCTTGCTCACCTGCAATCCTGCTCTCTGTCTTACCTCTTATTCTTTCTATAATAACCCTGCCATTCACTTTACCTGGTATACTTGGTAAACTTATTCCCCTATAATTTTTACAATCTCTTTTGTCCCCCTTCCCTTTATATAAAAGAATTATGCACACTCTGCCAATCCCTAGTTACCTTCCTCTCTTTCAAGCATTTATTAAACAAAAATACCAAACACTCTAACACTATAGTATCTCCCCCTGCTTTTAACATTTCTGTCATGATCCCATCAGTTTCAGCTGCTTTACCCCCTTTCAATCTGTGTAATGCCTCATGCTACAACACAACACAAGCAAACAGAATCTTTCTGTAGATTTATGTGTTTATGATGGGTAGATTTTTGGGTCATATTAAGTAAATCCTTTCTTGTATTCCAGAGTGTGGAGAAATTATTAGATGATGCCATTTCTACCACATCTCAGGACTTGGACAGAAGGCAAACTGTAATCAAGCAAAAAGCTTTAATGCACAGGCTTACCCAAATATCAAACAGGTATCTTTTGTTATTTTGTTTTTTCTCTTAATTATTATCTGGAGTTTACCTGGAGAGAGTTCCGGGGGTCAACGCCCCCGCGGCCCGGTCTGTGACCAGGTCTCCTGTGGATCAGAGCCTGATCAACCAGGCTGTTGCTGCTGGCTGCACGCAAACCAACATACGAGCCATGTATTATTGAATTACAGCCAGTGCTTCTATAAAGCTTCTCTATATAGTGAGAGTGTTTTTAATATTATTTTTTTTTTTTTCAACAAGTCGGCCGTCTCCCACCGAGGCAGGGTGACCCAAAAAAGAAAGAAAATCCCCAAAAAGAAAATACTTTCATCATCATTCAACACTTTCACCACACTCACACATTATCACTGCTTTTGCAGAGGTGCTCAGAATACAACAGTTTAGAAGCATATACGTATAAAGATACACAACATATCCCTCCAAACTGCCAATATCCCAAACCCCTCCTTTAAAGTGCAGGCATTGTACTTCCCATTTCCAGGACTCAAGTCCGACTATATAAAATAACCGTTTCCCTAATCCCTTTACAAAATATTACCCTGCCACACTCCAACAATCTTTGGGCCCCAAAATTTTCATTCGTCTCCATTTTCCCCATCTAAACCATGCACGCTTGCTGGAAGTCCAAGCCCCTTTTCCCCAAAACCCCCTTTACCCCCTCTTTCCAACCCTTTCGAGGGCGACCCCTACCCCTCCTTCCTTCCCCCATAATTTTTTATGCTTTTCCCTTCATTCTACTTTTATCCCTTTTCTCTAAATGACCAAACCCAAACCCCAACAAACCCCTCTTCTCCCTCTGACTAATGCTTTTATTAACCCACTCTTTTTCCCTTTTTTCCACACTTAGAATTTTTCCCGCATAATATTTTCACCACACATTGCCCTTTGCAGGACATCCCACCCTCCAAACCCTCTCCTCGCGCGCATTTACCACCCAAACTTCACACCATATAAGGTGTTGGTACTACTATACTTTTATACTTCCCTTTTTGCCTCCATAGTAAGTTTTTTTGACTCCACAATACCTCAAGCACCACTCACCTTTTTTCCCCATTAAATTTCCCCCATATTAAAACCCCATCCTTCATAAACCCTCCGCCGACATTCAACTTCCAATATCGAAAACTCACTTTTTTCCAAACTCCTCCTCCCCAATTTGAAAATTTCCAATTTTTTTTACTAAATCATTTTATACCCCTCCCTTACTCTTTTCTATCCTCACTTTCAACTTTCTACCTTTACACACATTTTCAAACTCTCCACTAACCTTTGCAATTTTTCTTTAGAATCTCCCATAAGCACAGTATCATCAGCAAAAAGTAACCTGTGTCAGTCCCTTTTGAATTTGATTCCCCATAAAATTTAATCCCACCCTTTTCCCCGAACACCTAGAATTTACTTCTTTTACAACCCCATCTATAAATATAATAAACAACCATGTGGCATTACACATCCCTGTCTAAGACCTACTTTTACCGGAAGTATTTTCTCCCTCTCCTTCTACATACCCTAACCTGAGCCTCACTATCCTCATAAAAAAGCTCTTTACAGCATTTAGTAACTTACCCACCTATTCCATATACAGTGGACCCCCGCATAACGATGGCATCGCATAGGCGATTTTCCCATAACGATTACTTTTATTCGCAAAATTTTTGACCCCGCATACCGATTAAAACCCGCATAACCAGATGTTTTCGTCCGAGACGCGTCCAATGTGCCCTCACATGTGCCCGGCCGTCCCAATTGGTTTACCAGCCCAGCCACCGCGTAACATCCAAGCATACACTCGGAATATTCGTAATTATTACAGTGTTTTCTGGGGGTTTTTTTCTGGAAAATAAGTGACCATGGGCCCCAAGAAAGCCTTCTTAGTGCAACCCTGTGGTAAAAAAGGGGTGAGAATTAGTATGGAAATTAAGAAGATTTTGAAGGGTTTGGTGCTAACCCGAGAAGCCTATGCCAGTTGTGAATCCAATGTGCCTACTTCAAAAAGATTAAGGAAATGTGGTGCAGAGTTGGTTTGAACTGCAAACCTTTATAGATGAAAAATCAACCCTGACGACAGCGTTGCATGCCGTGCTTTGTTGACATTTCAATGACAATGTTTATGGCCCATTTTAGGAAAGGTCTTGAAGAAAGGGAGGTACAGAGCTCTATGGACAGATTTTGTTGTGCGACAGAGGTCCAGAGACTCTGAAGCGTGGTCCTAGTGGCATTAAAAGGAAAAGGGAAGTAACCCCAGAAAAAAGGGGACTTGCTACCTCAAGTCCTAATGGAAGGGGATCCCCTTCTAAACAGTAAGAAGATAATGCTCTCCCCTCATCCCATCCCATCAATCATCAACCAGATCTTCAATAAAAGTAATTGTCATGTAATTGTGCATGCCTTTTTTCAGTTTGTGTGTATTAAAATTAACATTTCATGTGGTAAAAAAAATTTTTTTCATACTTTTGGCGTCTTGCACCGGATTGAATTTTATTTCCATTATTTCTTATAGGGAAAATTAATTCGCATAACGAATATTTCGTCATAATCGAATGATCCCTCTGTGCACGATTAAAATCGTTAACCGGGGTCCATCTGTACTTTGCAACATGCTGCCACATTGCTCCTCTATCCACTCTATCATATCCTTTTCTAAATCCATAAATCAACAAAAACTTCCTACCTTTTATCTAAATACTGTTCCACATATATCTTCAATGTAAACCCACTCCAACACTATACCCCCCCTGCTTTTAACATTTCTGTCATGATCCCATCATTCCACTGCTTTTCCCTTTCATTTACTTGCCTCAGTACCTCCACCACACACATTCTGCCTTCTTCACCCAAAAAGGTGGTATACCCTGCCGGGGCAGAAATTACCGCCTCCCTTTCTTCCCAACTTTTAAAAGTTCCTCAAAATACCCCCATCTACCAATCCCTCCCCCCCCATCTACAACTCCCCTACTCTTTTTTTTAATGAAAACCCATACTTTCCCCCTGGGGCTTTTTAACTTTTTTTAACTCCAAAATTTTTTTTTTATTTTCATTAAAATTTCTTGACGTCCCTCCCCCCACTTTTTCATCTGCTCCCTTTTGCACTCTTTCACCACCCCTTTTCCCCTTTCTTTTACCCCATATACTCTGTCTTCTTATAACATTTTGTTTGTAAAAATCTGTAAGCTACCTTCTTCTTTTTTCACACCCTTTATTTCATCATTCCACCAACCCTCCCTTTCCCCCTCCCCCCCACCCTCCTATAACCACAAACTTCTGCCCCCATTCTAATACTGCATTTTTAAAACTTTTCCCAACCCCTCTTAAAACCCCCCCCACTACTCATTTTTGCACTAGCCCCCCCTTTCTCCCAATAGTTGCTTAATTTCGCCCGAATTTCCTCCCCCCTTATTTATATCTTTCACCCCCCCTTTACTTTTTTTTCCCACCTTCCTCTTTTCCCATCTACCTCCTTTTCTAACGTAGCTACAACTAAAAATGATCCGATATTCTTTCCCCCCTATAAACTGTACATCATGGGGGCTACCCATCAACGTTTTTCCACCAATACAAATCAAACAAAAAACCCTTTTATTACTGCTACATCATTCTTTTATTTATTTATCCTCTTTTTCATAAAATATGTATTACTTATTACCAAATTTCTTTCTACACATAGCTCATTAAAGGCTCCCCATTTACATTTACCCCTGGCACCCCAAATTTACCTACTACTCCCTCCATAACATTTTTACCCACTTTAGCATTGAAATCCCCAACCACCATTACTCTCACACTTGATTCAAAACTCCCCATGCATTCACTCAACATTTCCCAGAATCTCTCTCTCTCCTCTACACTTCTCTCTTCTCCAGGTGCATACACACTTACTATAACCCACTTTTCACATCCAATCTTTATTTTACTTCACATAATCCTTGAATTATACATTTGTAGTCCCTCTTTTCCTGCCATAGCTTATCCTTCAACATTATTGCTACTCCTTCTTTAGCTCTAACTCTATTGAAACCCCTGACCTAATCCCATTTATTCCTCTCCATTGAAATCTCTCCCACCCCCTTCAGCTTTGTTTCACTTAAAGCCAGGATATCCAGTTTCTTCTCATTCAAACATCCACAATCATCTCTTTCTTATCATTTGCACAACATCCACGCACATTCAGACTTCCCACTTTGACAATTTTCTTCTTCTTCTTCTTTTTAGTAATCTTTACAGGAAAAGGGGTTACTAGCCCATTGTTCCCGGCATTTTAGTTGACTTTTACAACACGCATGGCTTACGGAGGAAAGATTCTTATTCCACTTCCCCATGGATATAAAAGGAAAAGTAATAAGACCAAGAACTATTAAGATAAAATCAAAGAAAACTCAAATGAGTGTGTATAAATAAATGTGTACATGTATGTGTAGTGTGACCTAAGTGTAAGTAGAAGTATTATTATTATTATTATTATTATTATTATTATTTTTTTTTTTTATTATCACACTGGCCGATTCCCACCAAGGCAGGGTGGCCCGAAAAAGAAAAACTTTCACCATCATTCACTCCATCACTGTCTTGCCAGAAGGGTGCTTTACACACCCAGTTTTTAAACTGCAACAATAACACCCGTCCTTCAGAGTGCAGGCACTGTACTTCCCATCTCCAGGACTCAAGTCCGGCCTGCCGGTTTCCCTGAACCCCTTCATAAATGTTACTTGTCTCACACTCCAACAGCACTCAAGTATTAAAAACCATTTGTCTCCATTCACTCCTATCAAACACCTCACGCATGCCTGCTGGAAGTCCAAGCCCCTCCACACAAAACCTCTTTACCCCCTCCCTCCAACCTTTCTAGGCCGAACCCTACCCCGCCTTCCTTCCACTACAGACTGATACACTCTTGAAATCATTCTGTTTCGCTCCATTCTCTCTACATGTCCGAACCACCTCAACAACCCTTCCTCAGCCCTGTGGACAACAGTTTTGGTAATCCC